TACAAGTGCTTAGGTCTAATGCCTAAACGAACAGCTGTGAGGACAGCAGTGGGCCAAATATAAACTTGTATGAGTGCATGAATTTAGCAAGGATGCCCCCTTCCAAGAAGATGGCACACGCCCGGTCACTGCATTATTAGCAGTAATGTTATATTCTTCCACAGAGAGCTGTGCTAGTGTCAGTTAAAGTGATTTCCCTTCCTTTTGCTAATATGAGATTAAATAGAAATCACTGTCTCCCTGATGCTCCAGTTCTGGAGTCATTTTTTCCCTTTTATTTATTAAAAGCTCCATTTTATAATCTTGGGGATTTAAAATAGCATCTATGTTCCTCCTAACAACTTTTATTTCCCATTAAAAATATTCTTATTAGCTGGCTCACAGTAAATTTCATTCTAAAGCATGTGCTATTTTAAAGGAAATCAGTAGTTCTAACAAATGTGATGGATTTGGAACAATTCATTTCCCTTATTTTTTTCCCCTCACAGTTATGCAAGCCTTCTGCTTCATTATGCTCTTGCGTTTTATATCTCAAGTTGCAAAGATGCATTTAAGAAGGGCTACCTCTCTGGTTTCCTCTTCTGAAGCACTTTGATTCTATTATTTGAGCACATTTGCAGTGTGGTGTATGCTTTGCTGATCTTTTAGCCTTGTACCCATGAAAGTCAGCTAACATGCATGTCCCAAGACACAGCAGCATTGGGAGAAGACAGACCCCAACATTTCCCCTCAGTTAAAAAGAGTAGAATCTTTTCCCCAATAGAGGAGTTTTTTTTAGGAGAAATGGGAATCCTCTGTGTCTCTATTGAGTGTCCCTGTTGAGTGTGGCTTGTGTGTCTAAGGAAGTGTCATTCAGCGAACTTCAAAGGCATTGATTTTCACAGGTAAATCATGGGGCTCCGTAGAGACAACTGGTAGACCAAACTTGGCCTTAATTCACGAGTCCTGTTCACTGGTTTGTCATCTCCCAATAGGCCATTTTTGTGTAACTAGTACATTGTTTTCTTTGGTTTTTCCTTTCTGAAAACAGTGGGTAAGTACTATTATTTTGAGTGTAGCTTGTGAATGTTTAAATAAATCCAACTGAATAGAAATTGTAGCTCCACTAACAATGTTAATAAAATAAGTTTTTATGAGCATCTCACATCCAGGTCCCTCCCCTCTCATAAGATGGCCTGTTTATCTAAACTGACCAAATTAAGTGACCCAAACTTTGTTACCGGATATGCTCAAGTTTTTTTCATTTTTGGACAGGGTATTGTTATGTAGTTCAGTCTGGCCTTGAATTCACGACAACTCTCTTATTTCAGCCTCCTAGTGTTAGGTTTACCATCACGCCCAGCAAGCTCAATTTTTTAAAAAATGTATCTCAGGGTGGTCTTGAGCTGATAGTGATCTTCCTGCCTCAGCTCCAAAATGCTGGGATTATAGAAATGCACCACTAGGTCTGGTTTCAAATTCTTAATAACCCCAATTAATATGAGCTCAGGTTCTTAAACAAGATCTTAAAGTTCTAATCTGAACTTTTACTATTAGCTGGTGTCATTTTCTTTAAAAATAAAAGGATTAGCTGGGCAGAGAGGCATGTAGTAGTGTAATGTCAGCTTTTTGGGAGTCTGACACAGAAGGATTTTGTAAGGGTAAGAGTTCAAGGCCAGCCAGGGTCACCTGGAAAATCTTGTCTCCAAACAAAGAAAATAAACAGCAATAACACAAAGCTAAGATTACATCAGGTTGTCTTTTTCAGAAAAATTAGATTTACATTAAAATTCATTCTGTGCATTATTGAATTAAATCATATAGTTTTATAGACCTCAACCAAGATATAAATTGGTTTGCCATAGTGAGAAAATTTGAAGCATAAGAGACATACTATAAATACAAAATTTGCTTTTTTCTACTTATGTGATCTTTCCAAACCCAATCACACCAAGTCTAACTTGTAAAATGGTCCAGTACTAGGTTCTCTCTGTGAGGTATTTGTAAAATGCAGATAATAAGATGACCATGGAAGCTCTGTGATAATTGTCAAGGGTCATACAACATGACTTAAAAAGAATTTTCAGATACATCCTGCTTTCACTGTTACTATTGAACAATAGTTAAGCGTTAACTTTTATATATTGGTTTTGGTCAAGACAGGAAGACTAGGAAAAAGCAGAAGGAAAGAAAAAAGTTAGTGGGCAGATTTACTTAACAGATAAACTAAAATAAGAGATGTCAACAAAGATGACAAATACTTGAACAGGTTTTAAAAATTATTAGTCTATCCATTTTATCAAAATCATCTCCCTGCTCAGCTCTGTGAAGTATGCAGGAAGTAACCTAACAAGGACCTTTCTGAGAAAAATCTAAAACTCAATCATCCATTTGAAAAGGTCTTAAAAATGGAAAGACAGGCCATGTTTTTAACATGTAAGTATTATAATTTTCCTCAAATTGTGGCAAGATTGTAGTTTTTGCTTTTCTTTTTTGAGGACCTCAAAAATACTCATCCTAGTTTACATGAGGGCTATCTAACTATTTTTCCTTGGCCACATTAAGTGAAAAGGGATGGTCTTGGACTCCATGACAAAGATATAATATATGTAGTTAATGGATGTAAATAACCTTTCTTTTAAAAAGTGCTTTGACAGGTGTGGCCCATGGGTTGGATATACCCAGTTTATAATGCTTAAGTCCTTTTGAAAAGGAAGAACAAATTACTGGAACTCACCTTTCAAGATAAACTAGTTTTGAACAGGTGAAGAGTCAAATGGACCTGAGAAACAAGCCAGAGCCAGGAACAGACCGGAGTCTGTAGGGAAACCTGTTTGTAGGTCAGCATGGCACAATACATTGGCAGAGAAAGGATTTGTCTAAAACCCACTAACTGGTGAGCAGGCAAATAGTCCCTGATAGTCACCGCCCAGCATGCTCAAATCACCTATATAAAATGGTGTGCTATTTGCACACCATCTGTGTACATCCCCCGTATACTCTTAGCCATCTCTAGATTACTATAATGCCTAGCACAGTGCAAGTGTTGTATATGGCTCAGAGTCTTCTTTTGGGAATAATAACAAGCAAAATAAGCTTGTATGTGTGTACTATGGTCACAATTTGTTTCCAGATATTTCAATTTGTGATTGGTTGAATCTGCAGGTTGAGAACTCTGCCTTTGAGGAAGGTTGATTGTATGTGGAGGAAAATAGGTTGGTTCACTCTTTCAAGGGTATACGAAAGGGAAACTCAGTACAGAAGCAAAATTATAAAGCTATTAAAGACACTGGAGGTTTTAAGAAGATCCCTGACACTCACACCATAAATTGAAAATTTAACAGATTAGACTACAGATTTTTTTTTTTTGGTGGAGGGAGGGTACTGGGACTTGAACTCAGGACCTCATGGTTGCCAGGCAGGTGCTGTGCCACTGAGTTATATCCTCATGTATCCCCAGACTACATTTTAAAAATTAAGAATTTCCATTCAAGGGTAGATACCACGTGCTGTGTTAGCAAAAAGATGACAGTAAGAAAGATTTATATGCACACCCTACAAAGGACAGAATATACCAGGAAGCATCAGGTGTTGTGTTTTTTCTTTCTTCTCCTTTTTCCTCTTTCTTTCTTTCTTTTTTTCTTTTTTGTAAAATGGGAATAACATTAATAGCAAAAAGCGCCCTCAGCAGAGCCTGCCATGTAGTCAGACTTACCACTTAATCTGTCCTTAGCCTCAGTGACAAAGCACATTTTGTAGCAAGCTGTGGTACCTGGACCCCAAACTTCTGATTTCTGCATGGTTTTATGTTGCCTGCTCATGGAGCCACAGAGAAGCATATGCACAAATATCCAGCCAGTGTCAGGAGCCACAAACCCAGTTTGATAAATGTGCCTGGATACACCAGAGGTTAAAAATGTAGGGAACGGTAATGGCTGTTCCCACGACACACAGTGAGGCATATGCGACAGTCATCACTGTAGCCGTGGAAGCAGCTGCCAAGGACACCTGCCAGGTGATGGAGCAAGACGGCGATTCTGTTTCATGGCCTGAGGTGTGAATCTTGTGATGGTCATATTTCATCTTCCATGAAGCTAGGGGTGCAGGGTGCTGTGTCTGGAGCACCGAGAGCCTGCGCGAGGCAGGTCTAGCTCCCTGGCCCATTGTCAGGGTATAATGTCTGGCTGCGGGGAGTGGGCCAGTCCTCTCCTGCTGGATTTTCTGGGGACCCCGATACCCAATGGCGAGATGGCCACAGACAGCAGCTTTGTTCCACCACCAAACAAACCTACTCTTGGGAACCAGTGCTTTGACTTTTTTTTTTGCCTTATGACCTCAGCTTCAAGGAAGGCTTTGGCTTCCTGAGTATGGGCCAAAAAATTAGATGGTGACGCACAGGGCAGAAGGTGGCGAGTTACAGTTGGTGGCAGTGACCTGAGATAGGTTCACTCCTTAGATCTGGAGGTGGATAAAACAAGTCACCCAGGGCCATCCTGCTGACAGGGAAGGAAGGGAAACCAATATCCAATTCTATGTCAGGTGCTGTCACATACACACTGTTTCTTTGGTCCCCCACAAGTTCAGAGAGGTACAGTCTCATCTTCATTCTACAGATGCAAACCCTGCTACTCAGAAATTGTTGGCCCAGCGTTACTTACTTTGCAGTGACTCCCTGAGATTTGATTCCCGGGTATTTAATTCTGTAACCCCAGGTCAGTTAGTTGTGTTTTCACTGCATCATTATTTGTATCTGCGACTCAGAGAGGGGACAGTTGGAGGTGTGATGGCTGCCACGGCAGCCCAGAGGACTCTAGGTAAGAATGCAAAGCTGTCCCTGTCTGCTCCTGGCCACGGGCTCAGAGAGGTGGTACAAAGCCAGTGACACTCCCCAGCACTGTGTTTAAACGTGTGCCCCTGTGGTCAGCTGGCTTTAGGTGCAGCTCCGGCTCCTCAGCAGAAACTCTGTTCTCATGAAATAATGACATCCTTAAAGTATTGTCCTTTGCTTATTATTTGGACAGGATGCTACTTCCAGGAAATCCGCTACTCAACGTGGATGGATTCCCTGTCCGGGAAGGAAACCAGATTGCCTTCACAGCAGGGAGGAGCTCGCTGCCTGCCTTGCCAGCCAGGTGGAATTTCATTTCTCTATGCTCGTGGGATCTTGCACTTTAATAAAGTTTCGTTAGTCACTGATAGAGACGTACTTGTTCAGATGTCTGACACTGGCTGGTATGTGTGCGCGCACATGAGAGATCACATATGTAGCTCCTGCCCTGGCCTCCACAGCCCATGGCAGGGATATTCATCTTTACGTAATTATCATGATAGTGATTAGAGCAAACCATTCACTGTGTATTTCCTCTGTGCTATGCACCATGGTGAGCCTATTTTGTGTTCACAACAATCTTCTACATATATTTTTAGGATTGGATTTTTAATACAGATAGAAAAAACAAAACACCAAATTCAGTGTTTTAACCACATGAAAGGTTTGTCATACAATAAGAAGCCCAGCTGTAAGCACTTCAGAACAAGTACCTTGCCCCTCTCTCCTCCGAGTCACCGGGAGCCCAGGCTTGGTAAGTGGTTCTATGTTATGCTTTGCAACGGATTTTCAGTCTGAAATTAGAAAGCAGGGCAGGGTTGTGTGACAAGAATTACAAAGGTAAAAGTAAGCTGACTTTACACCTTCTAACAAGCTGTCTCAGAAACTCACAATTTATTGTCTAGAAATGTGTTTCATGATCGCATCTAGCTGCAGTGGAAACCCAGGAGCTGGTTAGTAGGAAATGATTACCTGTTGGCCACATAACCAGCAGTGCCTCCCTTAAGTAGTTAATATTTGTTCAAAAATTATAGACAAGGAAATGAAAATCAGAGAAGTGTTTACTAAAGTTCACCTAGCTAGGGAATGATTGGGCCCAGACCAGAATCCAGATACGTCTGATACCAAAGCCACGTTCCTAGACTGCTCCTGTTGCTTGGTGGTGTTTGGGCTGGAGAAAGAGGACCTAGCATTCTCTTGGGAATAGGAAAGAGGATTGATTTCAGTTTCTTGAAACCAGCACTAAAATCACTATATAGACAAAATGGAGGGCAGGTTTAGATGCAAGGAGAGAATGTATTTTTAACAATTAGTGATCAGGTGTCACCCAGGTGTACCAACTCTCTCTGTGACAGGAACACTTGTACAGAGGCTGGATTGTCTCTCCGAGGAGCTCCTTGGACTGGCCAGGAATTGAGGTCTTGGTGAGGTCCAGTTCCTGGGTCTATGCAACAGCCATGGCTGAGACAGAACAGCCATGGGGCCAGGTGTCATTTGGATCCAGTGATGATTCCTCATGGTTTGCCAGAACTAGAGTAACCTCATAGCTAACTGATGGTCCGGACTGGACCATTTCTTAGGGTAAAGGAAAGACTTGTTAATAATTATGATGGGAAAGGGGGAGTATCAGACTCAGTTCAGACCTCCTACAAGTCATAGCTACCCCAGTGCCTGACGAACACAGCACCCGGAAGTCCTGGCTGTCATAAGTCTTGATGACTGAGCAAGTGGCCAAGAGGGACTGACGCCCCCAGAGCAGACCTCCCTCTTCTGTAGGCTGGATCAGAGAAACCCTGTCTGTGATGGGCTTTGGTGACAGGTGCTAAAATCCTATGGGCAGGGATGATGTGCGATGAGCCTGCCACAGACTCGTGTGCCCCGAGTCTCTGCTTGTGTGACTCAGTTTTAAGAGACATCGGGCCTGAATAATGCCATGTTATTTGTGAATCACACACCCAGCCCCTGGTAGGCTCGGAGGGAAACCAGATGTCGCGCATTCTGATATCCTCCTCAGCTTTTAAAAACTGCTTTTCTGGCTTGGTCAGTGACCTTGGGCAAGTCACAACCTCTCTGGTTTAGCTTCTCCTGGAGTGGAAATAAAACTGAAATAATAATTATGCAGCGGAAGAAAAATGACTCAAGATCTTCCAGCCCACGATGCCCCACAGAGCCAAGCGATATTATTTTCAAGACACCTATTAGCAGGGTTGCTTCTTGTCTTGTTCCTTCCCATTCGGCCACAGGGCATGGAAGAAACACAGGAGCTGGCCAGAGACTGGTGCTTGCGGGTGCTGGTTGGCACAGGATACGAAGGTAAGGAATTTTCTCCGGCTTGTGTTCCATCATTAACCGCTCATGCATGGAGCACAGCGCCTCCTAGATGGAAATTAGAAACCCAAGGAAACCTCAGCCCTGTCTCAGGCTGGGGCAGTCTGTTCAGGAAAACTTTTAACAAGTATGTTGCTAAAATATCATCTTTATTCTTTCTTTAATGCCTTATTCAACAAGTACTGATTAATGGTCTCTGCAGCAGGTTCTATTTCCTAAACACAGAGCAAGGTGCAGAATGACCAAACCCTTCTGGGTGTATTGAGTCTAGGAGTCTTGATCTGGGAGGTTTGAAGAGCTGGTCTTCTGCCCTGATTTTGCATCTCTCCCATTATCCTGGTGCCAAGATAAATGCAGAACTGCTCTTGCTATCCGGTTCCTAAGGGAGTGCGACCACATTCCTTAGTACAGCCTAGAAGCCTTGGGGTTTGGCTCTTGTTCACTTTCCCTTCTCTTCTCTCACGCTGGTGAGCCACAAATTCCACGGCCTTCCCTGCAGGTCCGTGACTCTCCGGCTCTTTTATATCCTAGGCAGGGGCCAGCGAGCATTTTCAGTAGAGGACCCGGCAGTCAGCAGTTCTGGTTTCTGGGTCCTGCCTGGTGCAACTGCTTAGTGCTCTGCTGTGGCACAAAGGCACCGTAGACAACACGGAAGCAGATGAGCACGGCTGTGTTCAAAGGAAATTTTCTTTCTGAAAGCAGTTGGCAGGCCGGGCTTGGTCCATGATGCCATGTCTGCTGATCTCTGCCTCAGCCTTTGTGTTTACTGCATCCTTCCACTTCACTTTAAACACCGATTCCTCTCTCGCCGACCTGACGATCGTCCATTCAAGTCCAAAGGCTTTACCTACTGCCCTGGGGAGTTGCTCACATCATGTATTTGGTACTTACCGCCCCCTTGGGTATGAGAAATGAAACCTGTATTTTCACCCCCAATCCTTGAGCTTTATTTATTTATGAATGCATTCACTGATTCACTGATTCAATGTTATTTACTGTGTGCTCACTGTGGGGCAGGGTCCGTGCCACTTAGTCTTTGTGTAACCCCTAGGTGAAAATCTGGCCCATAAAACACCCCAGTACGTGTTTGCTGAATTGAAAGACGTGAAACTCAGTAAAGAAGCCTGTGGTGTCAGTACCTATAGTGAGGAATTTATCTGTACTGCTGGCCGAGATCTGGTCAGGAGCTTTTAAGATTTTATTTTTTGCCTCGTCTGGAATAGGATGGTGGCTCCCACCTGGTGTCCATCCTTCCTATTTTTTCTAGGCCTGTGGTCCAGCTTTCTGCTGACCTCATATGGCGGGACCAAAAGGAGTAGCACTGACTTCCTAACCCTCCCCAGACAGGGAGGGAGCCGTGTGAATTTGGGGGTTCCTAACACAGAGCCAGCCAGCATAGTGCACTGTACTTTTTGATTTTCCCTTTTATTTTTAAATAGAAGATCTGTTTTGTTCCTTTTTCCTTGAGACAGGACTGTCTGGGTAAGGAACCCAAACAGCCTTCAGCAGAGGATGTTGAAACAGTTTTCTTGTAAAGCCTAAATCTCTCTGTCCCTCTCTCTTTCCATCTCTGGTTCTTTGAGAATGATTTTGAGATTAATGTAAATGTGAAATTTCTCGATTACTCACACTACAGAATATCTTAAGCAGGACTTAAGCCATGTTCTTACATTTACAATGCATTCTAAACGTAAGCAGAATAGTTATTTGATTGGTCATCACCCAGGGAACCAGACACAGATTTTAATGGTTCCTAGGCAGGTAATGTGTTTGCAGTCTCAAGGCAGAGAGAAGAAGACGGTCACAGCTAGTTACAAAACAAACATCAACCCTCCACAGAGTTTCTCATGTTACAAGAGCAAAGAGGAAAGAAAGGCGGATCAGGGAATGCGGCAGAGGGTGCAGGGTAAACACGGGAGGCTGCAGAATGTTCTGGATCTCTACTTTGTAAAATAGAAGGAGCCAGTCAGGGAAGCGGCAGCTGAATGGTGCAGGGCTCTTTGTTCCCTCACTCATCCCACAGGTGATAACAAAGACAGCAAAGCTCTGTTACCGGCCCTCCTGCTAACTAATCAGTGAGACCTAACACTTTTAGGCTGGTTGTTTCTATGAGGGAGCCAGGGTGAGAAGGAATGACCCCCCTGGCTGTGGAGGACGGAGGGCCAAACTGGGTCACAGGCTGGTCTTTAGTTACCAAAGAAAAACAGGGCCCTGGTGCTAACTGACCAGGGACCCCAAGTGCATTAGTGAGTGAGCTAACCCCATCGCAACACTCAGCGGTAAGCTCTTCTGTTGGTACAGTTGCCATGGCATATCTCAGACAGGTTTATTGTAGTGGCAAATGACTTCCATGAATAAGGCCACTGCTTGCTTCCCTGAGCTATTAAACTTTAAAATAAAATGCTATCTTTTGGCATTTCTGTTACTTGCATGAAGAAATATTTTCCTTTTGTCAATTTTCATCAAGAGTCACTAAGTGTCACCATTTGCCAGTGCCTAACAGAGTTCTGATCCTTATGTCTTTGACTCAGCAATTTTATTTTAAGGAATTGGGGGCTGGGGATTTAGCTCAGCGGTATAAGCGCCTGCCTTGTAAGCAGGCAGTCGCGAGTTTGATCCCTGGTACCAATAAAAAAGAAAAAGACCAAAAAAAAAAAAAAGAATTAATTGCATCATCTTCTTCATACATACGCGCAAAAGTGACAGGGACCTGGCCACTTCTCTCTCTGTCAAAAGGGGAGACTGCACCCCATACAAGGGTAGAAATTTCTTTTCCACTCCATACTGCTTTGCAGCGTTTGGAATTTGTATTGGCTAGGAGCATAAATCATTTTGCTAAATGAATTTTAGAGGAAATGTTATTCTTTTCAATTAATTAGGGTTTTGAGGCTGATGTTATCTGTGCTCAACAAAATATCAGGTCTGCTCCTGAACTGAAAATGGTTTAAAACCATAGAAGCAAGGTGTCTTCCCACGAAAGGTTTATTTGGGGAGAGAATTTTGGTAACTAATGAATAATACAGAACATTGATCTGTGCTTCT